TAAGCCCCCTATAGCTTTCCTTGTTTTGAATTTTTTTACTATGGTGTTTTAAAGCTTAATTACCAGTAAATGAAAAACCTATTTCAATCCACGTGCTGCAGCTGTAGCTCGCTGCGAATTTTTTTTTTTTTTTTATTCCGGTTATAGGCCCCTCCATTTATAAGCCCCTCCGTTTATGAGCCCATCTAAAAGCCCAGTTACAAAGATGTATAAGCCCAGGGCTTGTAAGTGGCAGTTTACAGTATTTCAAATCTGATGACTACAAGATGAGTGAAACAAGGAGTCAAAAGCATGGATTTATTTAAAATCCAAGCATACTTTGTTTGCATTCATCCCCAACCACCATATTGGCAAGTAATATTCAAGTGAGGGCAGGCAAAACCTGAAATTTACTGGCCCACTGGGGATATGAATTTCGAAATTGCCTGCCCAGCAGAGTCCAAATCTTTTTTAATGTCACTGATGTCTGATACAACCTCAATTTTCCTTCATCAGAGTTTGTGGACGTTTATCTGATTTCGAGAAAACCTAAATCAATACCACTGCAAGTTAAGACTGGGTTTGAGATTACTCAGTGACCACAAACACTTTAAACCTTTCCTCAGGTAGATATTGTTTGTAACGGGACACTTTCTCATGGTCTCAGCGACTTATGTACCCAGATATCACTCTGTTTAATGCTGAAAAGTGCCACTGGAGATCTGAGTTCACAATAATTTACTCAGTGACCACAAACACTTTATAAACACCTCTCTAGGCTAATCATTTTCAGCTGTCCACAAGCCACATAGCCTCACGAAAGGCTGGAAATTGAGGCTAGTACTTTTTCTAACTGAATACTTTCTGATCCCAAAGCTGTTAATGGGAGGCTCGACTTTTCAGTCGTGAAGATCACTGTTGGAAAAACTATATTTAAACTGGTGCTTTGTAACTTCGTTAGAGGAAAATTAAATCAAAGCTCATTTCCTTAAATCCAAGGTAAAAGGGGAGAAATAAGGGAGGCAGTGGCCCATGGTTAGTGCGCTTGTATTGATCCGGATTGAACTGTCCGGGTTCAAGTCCTGGATGGGGGTATTGAGTTGTGTTCCTGGGCAAGACACTACTCTTAGTGCCTCTCTCCACCCAGCTGTATAATGGGTACAAATGAACTTAGTGCTGGGGGTAAGCCTGCGATGGACTAGCATCCCATCCAGGGAGTAGTAGAAATACTCCTAGTTGCTTAATGCTACACAAACCAGGATAAGCTCCAGCCTGATGGGTTACTTGGTTCATATGCTGACTTCACTTTTTTTTTACCTTGTTTTAATATTATTTTCACCTAAGTGGAGAGGAGTGATTACTGACAGGGGCAATTAATTGAGGCACAGCTATACAATTATGATGATAACAAACTTGTTCAAAATGGTTAGGTTTTAATAAGCAACAACTAAGTAAACATTAATATTATTGTTAATAGCCAAGTTTAAAAATAATAACATTACCTTAATTAACTTATAACTTGGTCACAAAAAGTAACATACAATACAAATAACTACATCTTAAACCATTCCCATCCCCAGTGCTATTCATTATAAAATCTTGTTACAAGAAAAGAAACAGACACTGGGGATGAGAATACATCTAAATCTGATTTACCTAGATTGTACATTCCCAGATTCCCAGCAAGTTCCCAGCTTCACTTGCCAAGTTGTCATATGCAGAATTAGTTTATATGTTTTGCTGTTCTTGTTCGTCCACATATAAAGCAAAGAAAAGGCTACAATGGCTGCAGCAATAGAACATTACTTGTACAACAAATATCCATATTTAAAAGCAACATGAGAGGACTTTCAAAAATTTATTGATGAACCTTTTCATTGCTTACATGAGGACAGAACTGAAAATCAAAGAAAAATGGTGTTTTCATGCAAAAATTTATACTAGATTACATTTTAATCATGGGGTGATCTTTGGCGATATCACTGTTTACATCTCACATTTTGAAATTTACCTGAAACATTTATTATATAAATTAAATTAGTCTTAAACCCAGATCTCCCCCTCAAGGGCAAAGACAGAGAGAGATCTTAGAACAAGATTAAAATAGCCCAGCTCCAAGTTAACCAAGACCACTGAATAAAAAGACTAAGGATACATATGCAAAGGGTTAGTCTCGCTCTGAAGTAACATATTCCCAAATACCAAAGAAAGCATGAACTATTGACAGCTGTGTATTGATTCAGCTTCTACATTTACATGCCTCAACACTCTGTTGGTCTACCACTTCAGCAGGAAGTGAGTTCCACTTGGGTATAGTTCTGTCATAAGAACTGAAAGATTATGCTTATCACTTTCTTGCTGGTATTTTGTGAATTATTTACTTTAGATTGACATTAACAATGTCTAGAAAAGTCTTTACTCTTTTTATTCAGTTAGGAACCCTAACCCCACCTCCCCCTTCCACCCCCCGGAGGCAGGGTTAAGGTTAGGTTAACTTGAAACTAGACTATTTCATATAAGCACAACTTAAGCGTGCAAAATTTAATTCCTTAGTCATGTTTGAAAGGCCATGGGTAGTTGCCAGGCAGCCACACTCATCTGTCAATTGGGCAGTTGTCAAGAGGACTTGCATTGTTCAGTATTCAATGTGTTCCCTCTCAAATTTGCCATAGTTACTACATCACTATCACAGTCCTTTTGGTCAGCCACCAAGAATCACGATTCTTGCAAGCTAACGAAAGAGAGTGAGGCCTCCAAGTATGAGGATGTAAATTAATTGAGTCACAGTCCACACAATCTCCCAACTATGATGACCTTTCATTAAATATTTACTTAACATGCTAATGAAGGGACCAATACGTACTAACAAACACAAAGACAGCAGAAATGAAAATTCAATACAACACTTAAAATAATTTCAAATGATTATTCCTACCATTAAAATTATACACTAGTCTTCGTGACCTTAGGTGAGCAAAATCAATCTGTAAATTTCATGTCAAAAGGTTAGACAGTGTTCTCTCTATTTTTATAGACCAACTGTTAGAATTATCTTTTGCATATTGCAAAAAATTCAGGGAGAGAGCATGTCACAAAAAGAAATATCTACAAAAATATGAAGAATTGTACCTTCACAACACACATACTGTCAAATTAAGGAAGACTATATATATTGTCACATAGTTCAAATTGTTGTACTCACTATTCCACAAAGATATGAATAATGATGAAATTATTGTGGATCTTCTTTTCTACTGTTAAGGTCATAGCTTTAATAAGAGTTAACACTGCATTAATTTTTTTCCAGTTATCTGGTACCAGAAGCATATCACCTACTGATAGCTTATCTCCCTTTCTCCCAAGAGATGGCTACAGTTATAAAATGTAGATTTATGTGATAGTAAGTAATAGTAATTGGACCTCGTATCATACAATTCAGGGAGTAATTGGGCAAGTAATTTCAAAATTGGACAAACATGCAGTGTGAGGTCAATTTGAAATTACTGGCACAATTTCTCCCTGAATTGTATGATACAAGGTCCAATTACTAATTATAAATCAAACCTGTCCAATAACAAATTTGGAGATTAAAAACGTATTTTGAGAGCTTCTTTTGAGTGAAAAAGTCAGTAGTGTTTTTCACCAGTTGTAAAAACTGTAGGGAACATTAAGAAGGAAGCCATCAAAGCACACATAATTGATGTGCGAATAGCGTAGGTATCCAATTACAGGTATCCAGTTACAAAAGTTGTAATCGGATACCTGTAATTGGACACCCACATGATTGTGTGACAAATAGGAGAGAAACAATCACGATCAAGAATCTTGCTATAGATACAATTATAATAGTAATAATAATAATAATAATAAACATATAAACAATAATAATGAAAAATTATTTCCCATCCGCAGTTCTTTTGCTACCTCACATATGTTTAACTCACAGAAATTACATCATATTGCATGAAAGGAGTGTGCTACTTTCTGCATCATGAGTAATTCACCCTCAGCTGCTTAGACCTTCCTTAGTTTTTATCATTAATTTTGCCTTGTTCACTCTTATGAGAGCTTCTAGCACTACTGTGCTATTGAATGAGTGAATTGATCATGCATGTGCTACTGTAATATTGAAGAGTTCTGTTTTCTAGATGCACTGAAATGAAAACTAAATACTTACAAGTGTTGTAAAATGGACTGCAGACAAATAATTGCTAGTTTAAGCTATGCTATGGTGATCATTTCTTTGAAATATTTTTTATTACCCATTGCATCCCCATCTGCAATAAAAAGAATTAAGACAAATTACATGTAAGATCCAGCAAAAATAACCTTTTCAGGCATCCTTATTATAGTTAAGCACACAGATCACAATTAGAGTTCATAAAAGAACTTAAAAACATTTTGATGGACTAGAAAAATAATATGTCAAGAACAACATGTATCGTAGTAAATGGTTTGAACCACTTTACAATGGCTCAGAGATGTAAGGACTGCTTAAAATAGAAATCAAGAAATAATTTGACTCTCTCTGTTGAGAATCAGAGAAAATAAACAGCTAAACAATGTTTAACCCAACCCAGGAATCTATCTAACTTGACATTAAAGGTGTTATTCCAGGGTTATACTTTGTCTCAAGTGTCTTTAGTCCATGAGCAGGCTCTTGTGTTTGGGCTGGGGGCATGAGCAGCAAAGCCACAAGAGACACAATCACATGAGAATGGCAAAGCAGAAGATGGGCTGGCAGTGAGTTAAGAGCCTCCAAGATAACCATTGAATTTTGAATTCTGCCCCTCGGACAGTGACAAGTAGGTGTCAACTTGTCACATGCCTTGAGTATCAAATAACCAACCAATAGATATAACACTATTATCTTGAAAATGAAGTGAAATATAGAGCACATTGTTTAACACACCTAAACAAAACCACATACAAAATTTAGAGTATTTTCAACAAAGGCCACTTTTGACCAAAATTCTTAACGCCCTTTGTCCACCGAGCCTTTCAATTGGCCCTTTAGAGTTTGGGACTTTAGGTAAAGCTTTGTCTCCATTACCCACCAGATGCATGTACAATCCAGCAGCATGCAAGAAAATCCTTTGCTCTGCAGAAAATTCAGGCTTTTAACGAAAACATTCTTACCTCTAAACCTTCTCCAGTTTTTCCTGAGCAAGCCTGAATGTGCCAGCTTCTGTCTTTTATCCTCTCTAACATTAAACTTTCTGAAATCTGTATTTAGTTTAAAATATTTTAAAAATTAATTAATATATATTCAATTTTTTTAAAATAATACTAGTGAGCAGCACTTCAGCAACAGATCTTGTCAACTTGCTTTATTTTCTCCGACCGGTTTCGTCTGATCATACAGACTT